TGGGACTGGGACCGGGAGCGGAGGAGTGGGAGCGAAGGCAGGGAGCCCGACGCGGGGGGCCACCCCCGGGACCCTACGGGCAGCCCCCGCCCGGGGCTCCCTACGGCGGGGGGCCACCCCCGGGACCCTACGGACAGCCCCCGCCCGGGGGTCCCTACGGCGGGGGGCCACCCCCGGGACCCTACGGGCAGCCCCCGCCCGGGGGTCCCTACGGCGGCCCCTACGGCAGCCCCCAGCCCGGGCCCTACGGCGGGCCGGCCCCGGGAGGTGAGTCTGGGGTCTCCCTGCCGCGGTACCCGGGACAGAGATGGGGAGTGATGGGGTCCCCACCCCGGTGTGCGGGTGGGGGTTGAGGGGGTCCCCAGCTCAGCAGAAGCCACCACGAGAATGAAATTCCCGGTTTATTATTTTGAAATCCTGGAGGAGGAGGAGAAGGAAGAGGAGGAGGGAAAGAAGAAAGAGGAGGAAGAGGAAGTGCCAGGCAGCCCTAAAACTTTCACCCCACACCCGTCTCCCGGTGCTGCCGGGTTTGTGGGGCAGCACCGGGGCTCCCTCTCCATCCCAGAGCTCCGCCGGGCTCTGGTTCCCAGCCCATTCCCGGCTCCAGCCGCTCCGTGCCCATCCCAGCCCTTCCTGCCCCGTTCTCCCGGGATTTTACCGGGCTGTAAAACCGTGGGAGGAGAAGCTCTGCCCGGCTCTGGGAGCCACCCCCAGCCCGTGGCCTGTCCGAGGGGAAGGTGACAGCTCCGATGGCCTCTCCCCGCGCAGGGAATGCCCCCCCAGGGGTGGATCCCGAGGCGTTTTCCTGGTTCCAGACGGTGGATACGGATCACAGCGGGTTCATCTCCATCAAGGAGCTGAAGCAGGCTCTGGTCAACAACAACTGGTCCTCGTTCAACGATGAGACCTGTCTGCTCATGATCAGTGAGTTTGGGATCTCCTTCCCCTCTTCTGATGTGGTTTGGTTGGATTTGGGGTGAAGCCCATCCTGGCAGAATTCCCCTTTTCCCTGGGCATCGCTCCTGGCTGGAGCCACAGCTGGGCAAACCAAGCAGCTCCCAGTGGTGCAGGACATGAGTGAAGGGCCCAAAATCCTGCTTGGGAAAGGAAATCCCAGCTCTGCACAAGCCCCAGATCCCAGAAGGACAGGGAGGAAAGGGAGGAAAGCCCAAAAAATGCAGAGACTGACCCAAAGCTTGCCCCAGCCTCAGCTTTTGGTGCCGTTTCTTACCAGCCTTGAGTGGTCCCAGTCGGTCGCAGTCCTGGCGAGGGGGATTTTTGGGATCAGAGCAGGACTCCAGGGAGCCATGGCGTGGATCCTGAGCTCCCTGGAAGTTTCTGCAGCTTTCCCACTCCTCCCTGCCCTGTTCCTGCTCCTCCCTGCCCAGACATGTTTGACAAGACGCGGTCGGGGCGCATCGACGTCTACGGCTTCTCCGCCCTGCTGCGCTTCATCCAGCAGTGGAGGAGCCTCTTCCAGCAGTATGACCGGGATCAGTCCGGCTCCATCAGCTTCAGCGAGCTCCAGCAAGGTGGGTGAGGGCCACAGCCACCAGCCTGGCCCGTCCCGACCCCCCCACAGCCACTGCCAGGCTCTGTTCCCAGCTGGAAACTGGAATTCCTCCTGGAGTTGTCGCTGCAGCCGAGCTGGGGGGCTCTGAGCTCCTGGGGTGCTTCCTTGGGAATTGTCCATGGGATAAAGCAGGAGCTTCCCAGGGGACAGGAGGTGATGAGCTGCAGCAAGGGTGGGGCACAAAGTTCCTTCAGGAAGCCCAGAATTCCCCCTCAACGATAAGTGGCTGGAACCTGTTTTTTGGGAGGAGCTCCTGGGTGTGTGTAAAAGGGAAAAATGCCTGGAATTTGTGGTTTGATTCCTCTGGAGAGCCCTGCCCGTGCACACCCTGAGTGGGAAGGGTGGGAAGGGTGGTGGGAGTGGGAGATGGAGTATGTGGGACGTGGGGGAGGAGCACACAGCCACTCCCCCTCCCTTTGGGAAGGTTCAATCCAAATTTTCCTTGCTCCCAGCTTTCTCCCAGATGGGCTACAACCTGAGCCCCCAGTTCAGCCAGCTGCTGCTGGCCCGGTACGCCCAGCGTTCCCCCAATCCCAATCCCAGTATCCAACTGGACCGGTTCATCCACATCTGCATGCAGCTGCAGAGCCTCACCGACGCCTTCCGGGAGAAGGACACGGCCATGGTGGGAAACGTCCGCCTCAGCTACGAGGATTTCCTCACCATGGTGGTGACCCGGATGCTCTGACATCCCCCCTCCAAAGGCTGGGAATTCTGGAGCTCTCCAGGAGCTTCAGCCATCCTCATCCTCTCCGCTGGATGTGGCTGAGCCCCTCTGAGGGTTCCTCTCCGGGGCCAAATTTCCGGCTTGATCACCCCAAATCCTGCTGGGGTTTTCCTGGCTTGGATTCTTTGTGTCCAATCTGTGGGAGTCAGGGTGAATCCCGCGCCAAACTGGGACAGCCAAAGCAGCTTAGATCCCGTGCCAGCCCCAAATTCCAGCTTCATCCCGAGGTGCCTGCAGCAGAGCATCCCCGTTTTGGGGAGGAAAAGCTGAGCCTTGGGTTTGGAAGCAGCAGGAAAGGGGAAAAGTGAGGACAAAGCTCCTTCCTTCCCTCCCTGAGTGCCCTGGGAGCACATCCCACCCTGGGAGTGCTTTCCTGGGGGTCTCATCCCTGCTTTTCCGGGATCTGCTGGAATGGGATGTGCTGCTGCAGCCCCATGGGATCGTCCCCTCGCTGTTGCCAATCCTGAAGCCAAATCCTGACAAAGTTTAGAGCTCAATTTTTCCAGCTTTGGAATAAAATGTGTTGTGCTCCGGCTGCTCTGTGGTCTCTGTGTGCAGGGGGGGCTCCAGGGGACAGCAGGTGCCTCCTGTCCCGTGTGGTGGCACCAGGGGACACGTCCCAAGGCTGGATACCATTCCCTAAAATCAATTCTTAGGAATTTCATGTCCAACTATAGAAAATAAAGGACTGGGGGGGGGGCTCCTGAGGCGCAGAAAAATCCCATCAATGCTGGAATTTTCTCCCCAAGTGATGAGCGTGGAATTTACCCTGAGGAATCTCCAAAGATTGGGAGGAATTCTTAGGGAATCAAAGGTTAAAAGGTCTGAGATCAGAAGGAAGAGCCCAAGCTCGGTGTTTTCCAGCCCCGGGCAGGACTGGCTGTTCCCAACCATCCCCGAGCATTCCGAGGATATTTTCCCCTGAGCATTTCCAATATTTCTGTTGAGTCAGAGCTCAGCCCTGCTTGGGCTTGAGGCAGAGAGGTTGGGGCTGTAAATACATATATAAAGATATATTTTATAGATGTATTTGATATATTTTATACACACATATATGTATTTATATGTGTTTTAGATATATTTTATATGCTTTATGTATATGTATATATAAATATAAAATGCATATCTGTAAAATATATATTTAAAATAAAATAAATACATATAAATATGTATAAAAACATGTACCTGCATGTAGCATATATATATATATATGTGTGTGTGTGTGTATACATATATATATATATATATATGTATACACACACATATATATAGTTGTGTATACATGCATATTTTCACATATAAATATATATACTGGCTTTTTAAATATATATATATATACATACGTGTACATATATATAGATACACATAAACATATAAAAAACTTTACATGTATATATACATATAAATAGGTATAGGCATGTGTTTATATATACATATATATATATACACACATGTATATATAAATAGACACACATGTTTTATATATTATATATATATAATATATATTGTATATAATATAAACATATATAAATTATATATAATATATATTTTAGATATATAATATACATATATAACATACATTATATGTATAATATTTATATGTATATTATATATCTAAAATATATGTTATATATTATACCTATTAAATCTAGATAAATTTAGATATTATATCTAAAATATATTATATGTTATATATTATATCTATTAAACGGGTGTGGTTACATGTACATATATACACATATAATAATATATACAGGGTGGTTTTTGCATATATATATATATAAATATACAGGTATATATAAACACAGATATATATATATTGATATAGATATATAGATAGATATATAGATATAGATATAGATATAGATATAGATGATATAGATATAGATATAGATATAGATATAGATATAGATATAGATATAGATATAGATATAGATATAGATATAGATATAGATATAGATATAGATATAGATATAGATATAGATATAGATATAGATATAGATATAGATATAGATATAGATATAGATTAGATATAGATATAGATATAGATATGCGGTGGCGTTCATGTCTGTAAACAAACAGGCACCTGTATATATAAATATATCTATATTTACACATATAAAGACATATCTGTACTCACCTATATCTCTATCTGTACATAACAGAGATATTTTTACATGTTTTTTTAAATCTATAAATATATATGCGCCAGTCCCTGCAGTTGCGGGCAGCAACCACCAGGTGGCAGCGCCCTCCGCCCTGTGAGTGTCGCCCTGCGGGGGGGACCGAGGGAGGGGACATGGAAAGGGACAGGGACCGCCGGGAGTGCAGGCCTTTGGAAAAGGCGACAGCAGCCCCAGCGCCACCCCAGGCATGGCGCGGGGACACGGGGGCTGTGGGGACACGCGTGGATGTGGTGGCACATCTCACTGTGGTGGCACATTGGCCGCGGTGGCACACCCAGCCGCACGGTGGCTGTGGTGGCCATACCCGGCGGTGGTGGCACAGCCGGGTGCGGTGGCACAGCTGGCCGTGGTGGCACAGCTGGCCGCGGTGACACAGCTGGCCGTGGCCGGAAGGTGGACAATGAGCGGGGCCTTATCTCACCCCCCAGCCCTTCCCGAGGCCACCCTGGGCCCCCCAGACGGGGGTGACAAGGGCCACGTGTCCCCCTCGGAGCACTGAGTCCACCCTCTGAGCTCTGAGGCTTCCATAACTTTATTTACAAACAATAAAAAGCAAAATAAATACAAAAAGTCTTAAAAGTACAGCCCTTTGGTTGGGGTGGAGGGGGAGTTCCTGGGCTGTGCTGGCTGCGTGGACCCCACTTGTGGCCCCCCCAGGAGGGGGACACCACGGGGCTGAGCCCTCCCTTGTCCCTGCTGTCCCCCGGGGGGGTGGCAGGGCCATAGCACCATAGGGACGGGCTGGAGGGGGACGGTGGGGACCCCATCCTGGCGACACCCAGCCCTGGGGGCTCAGGGGACCCCCCCGCTGGATTATTTCACCCCCCCCCAGCTCCAGAACCGCCCTGCTGGGGGGAGCTGCTGGGGCCAGGACGGGAGGGGCAGGAATATGGGGGTCCCCCCATTGGGAAAAGGGGGAAAATCCCACAGCCCCAGCCGGGATGGGGAGGTGCAGCTGCCTTTGAAGAGCCCCCCGCCACCACCGCAGCCCAGCCGAGCCCGGGGCGGGGGGATTAGCGGGTAAATCCCATGGGAGACGGGAGCAGCCCCCGGGGCACCCCCCGTCGCACGCCCCACTGCCCCCAGCCGCTGCGTCAGCACAGCGGGGACACGCAGCCCCCGGCCAGGGGACACAGGTGACAGCGCCAGCCCCCCGCCCGCCGTGCTGCGACTGCGGGGCCGCGCTGGGGACAGGGACATCGGGGGGCTCACTTGTGGGGCATGTCCTCCATGCTGACGCGGCCCCAAACCCCCACCACGAAAGTCTCCACCTCGCACTCGTTGACGCCGCGGGCGATGCGAAAGTGGCCGCCCTCGCCCCACGCCGTGCCCCACGAGTTGGCCGCCGTCTGCAGAGAGGACAGGGGACACGCTCAGCGCGGTGACCCCCCCACAAAACCAAGCCGGACCCCACACGGGCGAGGGGAAGCGGCAGCACCCCATGGCTGAGCCCCCCTCCCCAAACTCACCCAGTATTTTTGGGTCTGGCCATCAGGCAGCTGCTCCTCTCCCCACCTGCAGCGGGACAGGACAGTGAGGAGGGGTCCCCAAGCACCCCCAGACTCTGGGGTCCCCCCACCGTGGGGGATTGGGGGGGGCTGACTCTGCTCATTTCCTGCCCCCGGCACCTCCCCAGGGCCAGGCCGAGGTTGGGACATCCGCTCCCGGAATAGGGGCAGGAATATTTAGCCACGGCAGGAGGAAGGAAACACCGGCACAGGACAGATCCCCCCCGCCCCGGGGGTCTGTACCTCCAAACCCCCCCTCTTCCAGGGTGCTGAGCACCGCACTCGTGCCACTTGTGCCACCATTCCCTTCCTTGCTTCCTTCCCCAGCTCGGGGACACTGAAAGGGAATATTTTTCCCACCCTGACCAACCCTCTGAGCCCCCCGGGCCACCCCCACGCGTACCCGGTGATTTTCACCGAGTGGGTCCCGTGTCTCTGGTGGTTCGGCCCCTTCCCCTCGGCCACGGGCGTGTGCCGGTAGATCCCGCTCTTGTACATGAAGAAATCCTCGTGCACCTCCAGGATGGCTGCGGGGAGGGCGACAGGGTTTGGGGACACTGCCACTGTCGCCAGGGAAGGGCTCCGTGTCCCCCCGGGCGCGGGGGCATCGCATTTCCAGCGGGAGGGAAGGCGGCAGCCGGATCCTCCCCGGGGCCACTCAACAGCACTCCGAGGAGGTTTCAAAAAGCGAAAATAAAGTAAAACAAACGCAGCTGCCAAGACGGTGATTAAATCTCAGGAGTTAATGAGCAACCCGCGGTGCCCGCTGGGGTGGGCAGCGTGACGGGCACCGGGGCAGCGCTGCCCGGGCACGCACGGGGAGCAGCTGAGGGGGGTTCTGGCTGCCACGACAGCTCCCCTAGCACGGACAGAGCGGTTTTCCCCCCCTTACTTTGTTCCCCCAATCTTTTGGGGCGCACAGAGGGGTGCCCCCGCCAGCTCTGTACCTTGCACGGGGCCGTTCTCCAGCAGCTCCTTCATGATCTCCTTCTCCTGCAAGCACAGAACAGGGTGGCAGCGGGTGGCAGCGGGTGGCAGGGGTGCCGGGACCCCCGGCACTGCCCTCCCCACCCCCAGGGATGCAGCAGAGCTGCTCCAGCACCCACAGGCGGCTGCCGTGGAGGGGCCGGGCGGAGCAGCCGCTCCCCGCGGGCTCCGCAGCGGGGTTTTCCCAGCCGCATTCCCAACCTCGGTTTTCCCAGGTAAAGCAGCCCGAGCCAAGCCCCTTCCCGCTCCCTCTCCCCGCTCCCAAGGGCTCCCGGCCCGGCGCTCACGCTGGAGGAGAGGCGGTAGGCGGGGGTGGACTGGTAGATCTCGTTGGAGTGGGTCTGGGGGTTGGGGCACCGCGCTGTCGCCTGTCGCTTGCCCCGGCCCGTGGAGCGGCTGTGCATCATGCAGGGCGGAGCCGCCGGCTGGCTCTCCTGGCTCGTGAACGGGTAGCACTCGTCTGTCACCACCCTGCGCGCAGGGACAGGGGTGTAGGAGGGGAGGGACCGGCTCCATCCTCATCCCAAAGCCCACTCCCATCCCTATCCCAAACAAAACTTCCTGCCCCATCCCAATCCCATCCACATACCGAACACACTCTCCATCCCCACACCAAATCCCTCTTTCATTCCCATCCCAAAACCCACTCTCATCCCCATCCCAATCCCCACTTCCATCTTCACCCCAAACCCCACTCCCATCCCACTGTGATCCCCCCTCCCATCCCGATCCCAAACCCCACTCCCACCCCAATCCCAAACCCTACTCTCCATCCTGATCCCAAACCCCATTCCCATCCCAATCCCAAACCCCACTGTCCATCCTGCCCTGGCAGCCCTCATTCCCCACCTGTCCAAGGCACAGCATGAGCATGGGGATCTCCTGGGCTCTCCCCACGTGACCAGAGCCCCAAACCCCCTTTTTTCCCTGTCCCCCACCCCACCCCGTCCTATCCTACCCCATCCCATCCCAATATCCCATCCCCAGCCTGTCCTATCCCATTCCCATTCCATCGTGTTCCACCCCACCCAATTCTCTCCCATCCCATATCCTCTTGTCTCATATCATCTTGTCCTATATCATCCTGTCCCATCCCATCCTATCCCATCAGATTCTGTCCCATTCCCATTTCATCTTTCCCATAACACCCTGCCCCATCCCATCCCATGGATCCCATCCCATCCCATGGATCCCATCCCATCCCAGGATCCCATCCCATGATCCCATCCCATGATCCCATTATCCCATGATTCCATTATCCCCCCCGCACTCACCCCCTCCTGCGCAGGTACCACCAGGCTCCGTCCAGGCGCCCCCCGCTGCAGCCGCGCTGGTTGCGGGTGTCACAGGACAGGAGGTTTTGCGGGGACAGCGCGGGGGTCATGTGTCCCATGGAGTGGATGGAGATGCGGTCCGAGGCCACGGCTGGGGAGGAGCGGCGGGTCAGGGGGAGGCGGCTCCGTCCCTGTCCCCGCTGTCCCCGCCCAGCCCGCCCCGCCGCCCTCACCGGCCGTGGAGAAGGCCCAGGAGCCGGCGCAGTTCCCCTGGTCCAGGGGCTCGTGGATCATCCCGGGCCACTTCGCAGCGGCGTCGAAGTGACGTGGCAGCACCTCGTTGGAGTCCATGTTCATCTGCGGGGCAGAGCGGGGGGCTCAGCCCACCGGGACCCCCCAGCTCCTCCTGCCACCCCAGCCATCCTCTGAGATGGTCCCCAGCCAGCTCTAGTGTCTCCAGCTCCACTGTGGGACCCCTGGTCCTCCTCCTGCCATCCCAGCCATCCTCTGAGCAGTGTCCCCACCCAGGTTTTGTGTCCCCCCAGCCTCATTGCCGGGACCCCCCAGCTCCTCCTGCCACCCCAGCCATCCTCTGAGATGGTCCCCAGATAGTTTTGGTGTCCCCCAGCTCCACTGTGGGACCCCTGCTCCTCCTCCTGCCACCCCAGCCATCCTCTGAGCAGGGTCCCCAGACAGCTTTGGTATCCCCAGCCTCACTGTGGGACCCCTGGTCCTCCTCCTGCCCCCCCAGCCATCCTCTGAGATGGTCCCCAGCCAGCTCTAGTGTCTCCAGCTCCACTGTGGGACCCCTGCTCCTCCTCCTGCCACCCCAGCCATCCTCTGAGCAGTGTCCCCCCCCAGGTTTTGTGTCCCCCCAGCCTCATTGTGAGACCCCTCAGGACAGGGACATCACCCTGAGTGACAAAGATTTGGGTTCTCCTTTATCCCAGAAAGGCCCCACCCCTCAATTTCCCCTAAATTTGGGCTCCACAGCCCCAGCAACTCCTTAGAAAGCACCAGCACCGAGTGTCCCACCCCGGAGCCCAGCAGGGCCCTCGGTGGCCCCCCCGAGGGCACAGCTCTGGGTGACACAGCTCCTCACGGTGGCCTCTGGCCCTGCCTTTCCTCCCTGGAGCGGGGACAGTGCCCCCGCCCCGACCTTCCTGGGGAGGACACGGCCACAACTGCCCGGCTTCTCCCAGCGCAGGAAGCGCCTCTAAAATTAAACCTGGGGCTCCGGGGCGCGGGGCTGGGCATGCACCAAGCTCTGCCAGCACCCCAGAGACCCCCGGGAGGTGCCCACCCTGGGTTTGGGTGCGGGCAGAGGCAAAGAAAGGGAGCAGGCGGCTCTGCTGAGTCAGCAGCGGCGGGGCCGGCGTTCCGATGGGAAACGAGCACGGAGGAGAGGGGGGAAAAAACAACACTGGCAGCCCGGGGATTGTCCGGGGGAATTTGCTGAGCTGCTGTCTCCAAACACGAGGGCTGCCCTGCCTCCCCCCCGCCTCTGGGAGCCCCTTCCCAGCGATGGGGAATCACTGGGCGTGCCTCAGTTTCCCCCCCGGGGGGACTCACGTGCATCTCGTTCATGTTCATGACGGTGGGAGAGGGACGGAAGGTGCCCAGGCGGTGCCGGATCCCGTCCTCCAGGGTCATCCCCCAGAACTGGCTGTAGTTGGCGGCTCTCCAGCTGCGTGGCAAGAGGGGACACGGCTCAGGGGTTACCCCAAAAAGCACCGAGGGGTGAGGCATCCCCGTGCCACCCTCGCGGTGCCCGGTCCTTACCCGTAATTGCCCCTGTTGACGGCGTCGATCAGCTCCCCGTCCATCAGGCAGGCGTGGTCCTCGCACTGCCACTGCCCGCCGGGCCCGCAGGTGCTGCAGAGGGCACAGTGGCTGAGAAATGATGTCCCCAGGGTGACCAGGGGGACCCTGAGTGGGCACTGCCCCTACCAAACCGGGCATGCAGCGAGGGGCGAGGGGCTGCTTCTGTCAGGGGTCACCAGAGATTGGCACCTTATAGCGGGGTGAAGCCGTGGGTGACCCTCTGGGTGACCCTGAGTGGCCTTTGGGTGACCCTGTGTGGCCTCTGGGTGGCCCTGGGAGCTGTCCCCCCCCCCGCCCCAGCCCCCGCAGGAGCCCCGAGGGCAGCCAGGCCATGGGACAGAAAATCAGCTGAAAAGCTGCCAAGGCTGCAGACATCAGAGGGGGGCTTGGACAGCAGCCCAGGGCCGGGGGTCGGGGCCGGGTGTCCCCATGGGTGACCCACAGCGACCAGGTCACTCCATGGGGACAGCCGGGCCGGGGGGGGCTCTGGGGGTGCGGCGGGTCCCCTGGGGAGCCCCGGGCTGTGCTCCCCCCGTGCAGTGAGCAATGCTTGGCATGCTCCCTCCTGCCCGGCACATTTCCCTTTTATGGAGCTGAGCGAGGCCGTGTCCCGCCAGACACCCCCATCCCGATCCCGCCGGCAGCACCTGGATTCCAGCCTTCCCCCTTCCATCCCTGAGCGCTCCCGGCGCTCTGGGTGACACCTGGGGACTTGGGAGCACCTCAGGGTGCCGCCAGCTGGGTGCCCACACCCTGTGTCACCCCGCCATGGGTTTTGTCCCCTGCCACCCCCCCTCCCAGCGGGAACCCCGGGACAGGGGCGGGGGTGACGCTACAGAAATTCCTGTTCTCCAGACACCCCGTGTGGGGGAGGAGGGTTTGGAAGGGGAGATTTGCCCCCTCCCTGGTGCTACTCCCCCACAGCAGAGATGCCACATCCACCTGCGTGGCTTGGGGACACTGACATTCCCCCGGGAGCGGGGACACCCTCCATCCCTGAGCGCTCCGTGCCACCATCCCGGAGAAACTCCAGGCTGCCCCAGAGCTGTGGGGAGGCTCGGGCTGGCTTTTCACCCGCAGCCCCGGCGCACACACATGTTCCCACACGTGCCCCTGCCCTCGCACACGCCCCAGACGCTGCCTTTGATTTCCGCTTATCTGCCGCATCGCCCCTCCGGCTGCAATCCTCGTCTGCAGCAGCTTCGCGCCGGCAGGTTCCCCAATCCCCCACCTCCGCATGCCAGTAATACCAGTACGGTAACGCCAGTATTCCCAGCTAATTCCCAGCGAGCTGCGGGAGCTGCCCAGCGGGCGGCACGGCCGGGGCTCTGCCCGCTGGCACGGAACGGCCGCGGTTGCCCGAGCGTCCCGTCAGGCTTGGGCAAGCTGGGCTGGGACCAGCGTGGCCAAAATCCCCCTGGGCAGCGCCGGGGCGAGCGGCTCCCACGCAGGCATGCGCTGAAACTTGGGAGCGGCTCAAGGCCCTTGGCTCCGAATTTGTCGGAGCAAAGGCATTTTGGCAGCGGCTCCCACCACCCAGCTCGGGCCTCGCTCTGAGGTTTCCAGGAGCCCGCGGGATGGCGACACCTTCCTCTGGTGACATGCCGGTGACATGCCGCAGGTGCCCACGCAGCATGCACTCACCACAGGTTGCAGTTCTCCCGGTACGTGGCTCCCATGGGATAATTGCGTCCTGCACGGGCACAGCCTATGTGGGAATGGGAATGGGAGAGCCCCTGGTGAGTGCTTGGATCTGCCGGGGGTCCCCACCAGCTCCCCAAATTCCCCGGGGTGCAAACCGAAGGGAAAACCAACGCGGTTCTTAAATCCAGGCTGGTGCCCGGCTGCAACCTGGCACCCCAAAATTCTGCTGGGGGTCAGTGGGTGCAGGGTGGGAGCGGGGCTGGCTCGGCGCCGGGAGGGTTAAATGTGCTCAGCCTGGCGGGACAGGGATAAAGGGGCCGGTTGTGCCCGGGAGCTGGCTCTGCTCCGGAGGGACTTCTGAGAGAGCCTTGTGCTGGGAGCTGGGGGCTGTCCGTGCCCCCTCCTCGTCCCCGGCCGCCCCAGCTGCCGGCAGGGTTAAGCCAGGGCCAGCATCTGCCTGCCCCAGCCGTGACCGGGCAAGCTGGGATGGAGTCCCCGCACGTCTCCTCACGTCCCTGCTCTGCCCGCAGGCGCTGCTGGAGCGGGCTCTGGGGTCACGGGCTGCTCCCACACCTCTTTTTCTGGAAGTCCATCCCCACCCCGGACACTCCGCAGGAGTTCCCACAGCTCTGAGAGCTCCGCAGCAGCTCTGCGGTGAGGGCAGGACCGTGGGGCGCCACATCCATCACCCCGAGGAGCAGCAGCAGCAGCATCACCCCAGGGCTGCATCACCCCCAGCGCCTCACCTGGGGCTTTGGGGAAAGGCGCCGGGATGCCCAGGCAGTATTCCCAGAAGTCGGGGCAGCAGTCGGACACGGTGCGGTTGCAGAAGAGGTCGCAGTAGCAGAGGGTGTCGTGGTAGGGCACGGTGCAGGCGTCGTCGCGGCCGTGGCAGCAGACATCCCCCCGCTGGCAGTAGGAGCCGCCCGCGTCGTAGACGCCGTGCTCGTACAAACCGGGGCCCAGCTCCCGGCGGGTGCGGACCCGGGAGGACAGGGCCACCTGGGCCACCTGGGCCACCAGCCAGAGGCACAGCAGGGCCCGCATGTCCCCGCTCATGTCCCCACACCTGCGGAGGGAGGGCAGTGAGGGCACGCCAGCCCCACGGCGGGGTGGGCGCTGCTCCCACCCTGCCCTCCCCAGGCTCCTCAAAACATTCCGGTTTTGTAACTCCCCTTGTGACCACGCAGCTCAAGCTCCAAAACACCCTTTTCCCCCAGCTCCGCACATCCCGGCCTCGGAGGGGCCCCGTGCCCACCCACCCCTTCACCACCGGCTCCAAAACCAACCCCCAGGGGAAGGGGCTCCCCGGGACACTCGGGGGGTCTGCCCGGGGCCCGTTCCCAAAGCCACCGCGGGCAGTGCCATGAGCTGCCAGGTCTCAGCCCGCGGGGTCCAGGGGGGTGATGGGGACCCCAAAAGGGGCCGGTGGGGACAATCCGGGGGCACACGGGGAAGGACCACCTCCTGCCGGCTCCCTCCCGCGGCCGTGCCCACCCCGCCTGCAGCGTGGGGACTCCCGGGACCCCCATAAAGCGGGGAGGGTGACCTGGGAACCCACGGGGATCCCACGGGGTGGAATCCCCTCCCCGTTCCCTGCCGTACCTGCCGCGCCCGCCGCGCAGAGACCCCAGGAGGAGGAGTGGAGGGTCCAGTGCTGGGATCTCTCACGGAACTCATGGGGCGGGACCCCCGTCTCTCCTCCTGCCTGGCACCCCCCCAGCCCCACCCCGTCCCCCCCGAGCCCGTGCCGTACCTGCCGCGCCCGCCGCTCCGCCGC